GTGCGTAGCAGACAGACAATTCATTACTGTGTAGTCTTCATAATGTATTAAATAATTAAAGCCTGTAAGTAAAAAAAAAACAATGTAAATATAGATATATTTTTAGCTTACATTTAACATTTATATGGATTTTTTAAAGATAAGCGGACATCAAAGGGATACCACTTTCCCTTGATACCTTAAGGTATTTCTAATATGTTTCTCTTCCACTTTTAGAGATGCCTTACCAAAAACTTATAATATGCTTTGATGTATTTTGTAGCCTGTAAATTAATTATTACTATTATCTCAGAAAATTTCCCAAGAAGGTTCAAGAAAGTCCAGTGGCAATGAGCCTGTTCTGGGTATGTAAGAGGACTAAACTTCTTGAGATCCCTTAAAAACCAGCTTAGAATCTTACACAAATACACAAATGCTGGGTCATCACGCAGCTCACCATGTTCCAGGGACACAGAATCTTGTTAGAGTACAAAGGCATGGTCTTATTTATCTCCTTCTCTCTGCCATTCTAGCCTTCTTTACACTAAAAAGTGCCCGTGATTAAACTGACTGTGCTCCAGGTAGGAAGGCAGGAAGTTTGCAAGCTTCATTATTTTCCCTCTTACAACATTATTGTGGGGCAGGTTTGTACTCTTTATTTGGCAGAGGAATACTCTGTGGCAGAGAGAGGTTATGTAACCAACACAAGGTCACACAGTTGTGAAATGATAGAAAATGGATTTAAACCCAGATTTGTTTTGTTTCCTTTTTGTGACTGGAAGCCCAAGGCAAGAAAGTGCTGTGTCTACATAGCCCCTTACTCAACAGGGTTGAGCTTCCACTCAGAATTATCTATTTCATTAATACCAGGAATCAGACAATGACATAACATGGTATAGAATTCAAATTATAATGAGTACTAATGAAGTCTCATAAAAATTGATTATACACTGCCCCTCACATTGGCATTTATATGAAATATTTTGCTGTTAGAACATCAGTATTGCATAGCTATGACAGGCCATGTACCTTACAAACCTGAGATAATTATTACCCATTGCTTTATTGAATAGCTTTGCTGATGAACTCTGATCTAAGGTAGTAATATTAACTTTAGCTCAACATTGGAGCCAAACAAGAAACTTAGTAAGATACTGAGAACTAGGGCCCTCTCCAGAGATTTCAATCTATTTGGCTTGGATTATAAACCCAGTGGCTGTTTAGCATTTATACTTACCTGATCAGGTTTATCTTTACAAAAACTACACTTACAAAGGTACTCTCTAACTACATGTAAAACAGAACTTGGGAGTCCATCATCCTAATTTTACAGATAAGAAAAATGATGCCAATCAATATGAATTACTTATCAATATTAATGGACAGTGCCACCATTGTTACATTTGTAACAAACTGTACTCTCATATTGCCTTGTCTTTTCTTTCTTTTATAAATCTATGTAATTTTTAAGATTTATTTTAGTTTTAATTGGATGTGTATGTATGTGCGTGTGTGTCTGAGGGTCTGTATGTGCCTGCATGCATACATCTGTATTCAGGTGTCCACAGAGGCCAGATGAGGTAATTAGATCGCTTTAGGGTGAGGTTACAGTTGGTTATTAACTACCCTACGTGCAATGTTGGTTCTGGGAACTAAACTCAGGTCCTTTTCAAGAACAACAAAAACTATGAAAAGCTGAGGTATCTCTCTAGCTCCTAATTTATATTTCAAAAAATTGTTAAAATTTCAAACCAAGGGCTAGAAAGTTGGTTCAATTGGCTTGCAGGATAAGGATTTGAGGTCACATCACCAGTACCCATAGGAAAAAAAATTCAGGAATGATAGTATTGCTTATAAGTATCCTAAGAGGCCATCCAGCCTACCCAAATTGTGTGCCAGACTTTTCGAGAGAATATACCTCAAAAAATAGGGTGCAGAAAGTTTGAGAAATGTAACTGTCATGGACATCTGACCTTTTCATTCATGTGTATGGGTGTCTTCCCATCCATATGCTGGCCCTCATGTGAGCATGTATATTCAATACCATTCTTAGAGGTTATATCATTACTTTGAAAGGAATCAACAATGAAAAAACATTTTCTAATTTTTATGCTTTTCTTAATAAGATCTGGAGGATTTTAAACATATTTGTAGTCACTTTTGAATTGTCATTTTTTTCATTTGCTTTGTAAAATTCACTTTATTTTTCTTAGTGATTTATGAAAGGTCCTCTAAGGAATTTCCAATTAAATATGTTGCATATATTTTTTTATTTTTTATTTACAATTGTATATTCTTTACCAAAGCAGATGGTTTGTGTGGTTTATATTTTTTCATAGTGTAATTATCTTTCCAGGTATAACATTGACCCCTTGTTCAATATTACATAAATCCAAAACTCTGTTTTCTTTTAATATGTTTGCAGGTTTTGGTTTTTATACCTAACTCATTGGTTCAACTAGGTTTTTGCTGACCTGACTCATCTTTAATATTCTTAACCACGTTATGAGCTACACATTATTCTGCTCTTCAAATGGCAGTTGACGTGGATGATATTTTTCTGAGATTATGTACTTGTAGTATTGAAACAGATTTACCCTGCTCCCTCCAAAACTCTGTAGCCAGTTAAAATACTCTTTTACACTAGTAAATGTTGTTATTCCTGTGAATCTATTACCACAGTGTAGTTTTGACTAAGAAGAGAGACACATTTTTAAAATCATACTTACTTACTGTGTTCGGGTGCAGTGGGGTAGAGAGGGCATGCCATGGTGTGTGTGTGTTGGTTAAAAGACAACTTACAAGAGTTGTTTTTCTTCTTTTACTCTTGATCCTGGGAACTTCACTCAGGTTGTTAGGTTTTTCTGCAAGCACATTTACCCACTGAGGCATTTTACCAGCCCATTAATAAATGACCTTTCTATTAGACCCTGTGATTCAAGTTAATGCTACAATTCCCATGAGGAAAAAAATGAAAATGGCCTTTATCCTTGTGTTCTTAAAACTAAATAGCAGATCTGCAGCTATAGCCCAGTTCTGCACTGGGGTTCTGTGAGGTAGGTAAGCCCACTTGAGAGTGTTAAACAGGTCTTCAAGGCCATAGTCTTCCTTTGGAATGTACACACTTCGAAACTGTAGCTGAAACTCTACGTTCTTCCAACTTCCCTTTCGTCTATTTCCTACCAGTGTGCATCTCTGAGATTGTGACACTTACTGTGTCTTCCTATTTGGGGGTACCAAAAAGACTGGAGATCACAAAAATAGCAATAAAAACATAGAAAGTGACAAATACTGTAATTCCCAATGAAAAATTTACTCAACAGCACATTTATCGATTGATTTTTTTTTCTGGAGGATCTTCTGAAGCCTAGTGGAGACAGACAGCTTTAAATCCTCACCCTGTTTACCACAGCTTCCTGTGTGGTGTTTGTATTCCTTTACTGGGAAGAGCTGCAGGAGAGATAACCTGCTATGACCTTTGGAGAGGGAGGCATTAGGAACTGAAATGACAGGCTCTGCTTTGAACTCATTAAGAAAAGTTGGAGAGTGACAGGACCTGGGCAAACATTTTTTAAAATGCCCTGGAAGTCACAGTTATGTTACAAGCACTTATTGTTTGTAATTACCTGGTCTACTATGACAGACAGAGCTGGGAATCAAATTAAGTGGCTCCCTTCTCTTTCATTGCTAAACAATCTTCAGCTTAAGCTAAGATTGCTTTTTCTTCTTCCTAAAAAAGCCACAAACAATGACAGCCCAAAATAGCTATTTAGTCAGAAGTGACGACACTTTCTGAACGCTTATCATTAAGAGAGAAATAGAAAACCTAACTCTTTAATTCCTCTGTCTGAATTTCCCTTCTACCCTCTGAAGCATCCTCACCTCACTGCCCAGGAGAGATGCCCAGAGCCTCTGCCAGAGCCTCAGTACTGCTGCAGGCTCCAAAGGGGAGGTGGCTTATGCAAAACACGTTAAAGAAAAACCCTAAAAGTCACTGCAGCTTTTTCCCTGTGAGTGATGCGGTTCTTCCCTGTTGCTGTGGCAAAGACATCACCAATCTTTTTTCCTCCCACTATTTTTACTGCAGTGAGAACTGTTCATGTCTGCTCGCATTTCACCAGATAGCTTTAGAATTCTAGCTGAGCGTTAGGGCTTCCTGAAGCTAGAAAAAGAGTTTAGAACCTTGCCTTGGCTGAACAAAAATCCAATTAATTTGCAGTATCTGTTTCCTGTCAAGGATAGCAACAGACAGTAAGACCTGGAAATGTTTGTTAATTAAAGATTTCCCCCTCCTCGTGGATTCATGGGAATAGAAATATGTATCCCTCTCTCTCTCTCTCTCCCTCTCTCCCTCCCTCCATCCCTCCCTCCCTTTCCTCCCCCTCCCTCTCAGAACCAGCTGAACATTTTACATCAGTTTCCATCCTGCTGGTTGAGTTGCCCCCCTGTTTCTTTCCACTCCCAGCCTGTATGGCTGACAGTTGTTTATCAACAAAGCATGGCACTGGAGAATTTGGATGCGTGCTTTTATTAGAGAGCCTAACAACTTTAAATATCCCTGGAAAACAGACGTGATGATATTCCAGGACAGGGCAGTAAGAGGTGGTATTTCCTTGTCATGGAACTGAGAGCACCCCTGGTGGACCCAGCTTAGGTTTTAGGGGACTCTATGAGACACTGAACCTTTTGGTCCTGTTCTGTTCCACACAGGGAAATGGAAGAGTGAGGCATGTTTGCGGTGGTTTTAGTATTTGCCAAACAGGGCACTGCATCAGAAAAGCTTGGAATGTAGTGCAGAGCTGTTAGGCTACAAAGGGAAAAGGGTTCCCTCTTCATCTACAGCCTGCCAGATGCAATCCCATGGTAAAGTATCTAATAGGACAACACTCGGGTTCTCCAGAAATATAAGTAACTCATTGGTTAAATTTCAATTCTTCACCTTTCCCCCCCCCCTTTCTGAGTGAGCTCATTCCCCCCTCCTTTTTCCCCCAGTGATTTAAAATGCTAGAAGGAAAAGCAACTGAGGTTCTAACTTTCGGATGCTGAATCCTCGGCTAATTGAAATTACTGGGCACAATGCTATATATAGCCAATGAAGAGATTCTGAGCTCTCACTCAGTGCCTTCAAGACATGTCGTTTTGTAGTCAGAGGAAACAGGGATCAATGCATTTTCAAACTGACAGAGGGAACGGATGCTCCTTAGCAGCACATGCCCAGGATCGTGTGTGTGGGGCTTGCGCTGTGCTGAGAAGCTGATCACCGGCCCATATGCCCCTTATTTACTGCAATGTTCTTTGCATGTTATTGTGCACTCCGGACTAACGTGAAGGTAAGAGGAAGCGAGACGGCAACTGGGCATGATGTACATGTTAAACCAGCTGCAAAAAAATGTCTACCTTGTGTAGCGCCAGGACTTTTCGGATGGCCGGCTGAGCAGGCAGATTATTACAGGTGGTTGCGAAGGCTTTGTTTTATTGTTGCCTTGCAGCCTCCCTGGGGGAGCCTGTCAGAACGCGGTTGTGAAGTGACCTTCAGGTTTAACTGTTTGTAATTCAGGTTCATGCTCACACTTGAAGGGTGGAGGGGGGGGAGGAAAAGATGAGGATTTTTTCCGTAGGCCAGCACCAAGAAACCAGAGGAGGTAACAAGCTATGGATCACGCTGTAAATTAGAATTTAGTCTTTCCGTTTGAAAGTGCTGTAAACTGTCCGTGTTCCTGCAGCTTCATTGTTCTAGGAGCTCCGGGTTTGAATGTGGAGGCTGGAGTGGAATTAGGATGTGATCTGTGGGGTACCCGAGTACCCTGTGTGTTGAAAGGAGGATGATGAGCATTGGGAATTTGGTGGTATTAATCACACAGCTTCTCAGCTTAGGGTGGGCTACTGCTATCTGGATGCTGTCACCTTGCTGACATTCACTTGCTGGAGCTAATAGGGCTCCAAAGTTGAGCTCAAGTTTGGGAGATTTACCCCTTGTCACGAGCAAGGACGTTATTATTTGAAAGGTTTATCTGACGCTATTTATTCAGCACGGAGAACCAGAGAGAGCAGCTGTGGAATTAAATCCACTTGCATAATTTAAGTGAATTTACACTCCCCCCCAACCCCGAGTTTGTATTTCTAACTGAAGCTAGTCCAAAAAAAAGTGATTGTCTTTGAGAAAAAAAAAATTAGAAGCAGTTTAAAACCTAAAATAGGACTTTTGAAAAAATTGAAAGTCAATGTAAAGTGTTTCCACTTTAATTTCAGTAGAGGAAGTGTTTCATGTGTCTAGGTACTAAAGTTTCATTTTGCATGTTTTCAAGTTTTATTGAAGAACTCCCAGCTGCTCATTTTTGTAAACCTTCTCGCTTTGCAGCTTTGCATTTGAACTTCAAACAGGTAGTATTTATATTGCCATGGTTGGGGCAGATCTCTCACTTCTGCAGCCTTTCCAGGCTTTCTGTGCCTGAGGAGACAGTCTGTAGGATTTACTTTTTACTACTTTAAGAATTCACTCCCCAGGTGAATGTGGTAGGATTAATAAACCTCCTGACAGGTTATAAAAGATGGTGTGTATCCCCAAACACTAAACATGGGTTATTCTAGTACTTTCTGTTTCAAATTATGGTCAGTTCCTTGTTTTGTAAAGTGGGCGAGTCCTTGTCTTCTCTTCTTTTTCTAAATAAATAAATAAATAAATAAATAAGTGCTTCCTTCAGAAGAAACTTGGTAACTCACATTAAGGAACACTTGTTTTGATAACTCATTATTAAATTTTGGAAGTGTGTGTGTGAGAGAGAGAGAGAGAGAGAGAGAGAGAGAGAGAGAGAGAGAGAGAGGGCTACAGATCTCCTCTTTGGGAAAGCCTCTCCCTTCTGTAACTTCTAGTAGTTGTCTGGATAGTTTGAAATTTGTCTTACTTCAACTCATAAGGAACGACTTTTTCTAATGATTTCTTATCAGAACCTGGAGGACCCTTGCATAATAAATCCTTAATACCTTGGGTAACCTAATTCTGATATTTTTTTGACACAGCAGAAACAGAGACCATGTGTGTTCCTATTTGCACAGTATATGAACTTGCTTGTTTATGATAAATTACCTTCAATTTTAAGTCTGCGTACACAGTTTTTATAATTGGCTTTTGTACTTCACAATTTATAAGTTTATTTTGTATCCTTTTCTTCTGAGATAGTAAGGTTTGTGAAAGAGTTTCAAATATGATCTTTACCTGGGTTTTTCACCATACTGGGTAGAGTAAACTCTTACCTAGTATTTTTAGACTTAGTTTTATTTTTGTGTTTTAATATAATTGCTTTTAATTTCATTATATTTAGCATTACTTATTGGCATGACTCTGAAAAAGCCTTAGTTATGGTATACAGTGGCTGACAAATTCAATGTAATATTTGTTGCACTGACCAAAAAATTCAAGGTGGTTTTGAGGGTTAACAATACCTCTTGTGAAATTTATTTTTGTATGCAAAGTACAATATTAATGCTACCTTTTATTCTCAAGAGATTATTTGACCAATGTGATGTTTAAAAAATATTATAGCCAGAAGGATTTGGTGGGAATGGTGTCCTTTAGTGTATATTAAAAGCTTTCATGTATCAATCAAATAACATTAAAACTGGACCAGTAGTATGCACAACACACACACACACACACACACACACACACACATACACACATGTGCCTACACATTAGAGTCTAACTTGCGGTTCACTATTATTCAATAATCCTTTAAATGACAGGTATGCTTTGTGCACTGCGCTGAAGCCTTAGATATTAAGATAAATTGAAAATAATTATTGCTGTTAGAAGACTTCTAGTGTAGGACAAGACACAGGCAAATAGACCAATGAGTTGTTTGAAGTATGATGCGACTTTTAAAGGACTTTGATGATAGGGCATTACTGTAATTGAAAAATGGAATAAACACAGCACAAGCTAGTTGTATTTGGAACAACCAAGAGAGACTTCACTGTGAAGTCACCTCTGACTTGAAACTTGACGGCTAATAGAAATTTCTAACCTTACTGCTGAGGGTAAAGCATGATGGGTAAAAGGAGCATGTAGCTAATACACATAGAACCCTGTAGGAATCTGTAAATAGTTGGGAGTGGGATAGCTTATGGGCTGTTTCAAGGCTGAACAGTGGCTAATGGAAGCTATGAGCACCCATCACAATATAGCTTTGAAAATTATGTTATGTTTCCATCTCTTTTCTGAAATAAGTCTTTACTCAAAAGGAAAAGGAAAACAAACCAAACAAAACAGACTTCCAATTAAGAGTATTATTTATACTTGATAGTTTTAAGTTGTTAAAGTACTAAGGATGGGTATCATGCTGGCTTGGATTTTCTTTTAACTTTTTTTTTCAATCAAAAATGATTAGAATAATTTAATTTGATTGTTGTCACACAAAAGGAAGGAATGTGATCATTATGTGAATGTGCAGTTCCTCTTTGATCTGAAATTGCATGTGTTGTATGAAAAGTACTGCTCTGATGAGACAACACGGATAGTTTGTTGTATCAAGTGTCTACATCATAGTGTCTATTAAATAGCTCAATTTTTGAAAGGAGAGATGCAAATAATCATTTTATGAATAAGCTTACATTCTCCACATCAGGATTTCCCTGCTTGTGTAACTTCAGCAAGCATGACTCTGTACACACCTACTAGCTTACACACTCTAAGAGAGGAATGCCAAGTTAGAGCAGCATCACATATAGAAAGAAGGAACATCCAGGTGTTCTGTAACAAGTGAAGGGAGCAGACCAATGTGAAACTCAAGTCTCTTGAGTTTGACTTCTGTTTTTTCTGTAAATCCCAATGCCTATATACTCCCTAGGTTCGAAAATCCTCCTCCTTCATTTTGTAAATTCCTTGTGTGTAACACAGGAACACTAGAAATACAGTGTTGACAAATTGCTTCTAGAACATGATTTTTAAACATGATGTTTATCCCAAGAAAACTACATTTTCGTCTGTCTTTCTCACTCATGGAATAGTTTGAGGATATTTCTTAAACTATGTGAAGTTTAGATTTTTGATTGTAAACAGGGACAATAAGAACTATTGTAAGAATGATGTTGACTGGAGAGATGTCCCATTGGATAAAAACACTGTAAGAGTGAGAGCCTAGTTTTGAATCCTAAACTCCAGTACAAGAACTAAACACATATCATCCCTCCCTCTTACAGGGAGATGGGAGGCTGAGACAGGAGAATGGCTGAAAGATGTCAGGCCAGGCAGCCATATTTATACAATGGAAGAATCCCAGAGACTTTTAAACATGATAGAAAGCAAAGATCAACATCAGAGTTTGTCCAGTGACTTTTACACATACTCTGCAGTATGCACACATGCCATATATGCACACTAATGTGCACACAAGAATGATGCACAGCATATAAATGCTATAATAAGTCCTATGATCTATAATGCTATAATAAATGCTATAAACAATAAATGCGATAAAAAGTAAGAATTTTCAGTCAACTAAATCACGTTGGTTAAAGTAGAGTCCACCAGATAACATTAAGACTTTTGTTAGAAAATCACATGAATCAAGCCTAATTTTTAAAAACCTATGGTTAATGAGGAATGTACTGTGATTAAATATTTATTCTCCCACCACCGTTGCCATCACAACCAAGCAACATACACTAAAATATAATCTGGATTATAGATGCTGAAACTTTAAGCCTTGGTTGCTATTAAATGTGTAAGCACATATAGAACCAAGTAAAAAGTACTCAGAAAACACATGCCTAAGCATATATATATATATATATATATATAT